TACAATGCATAGGTAATATAAAAAGAATCTAAAAAGAATGAATGAAGTAAACTAAAAAGAATGAATAAATAAATAAGAATGTACTCACAGAAATTATGTCCTGACAATGTATCCACATTGGGATCATCATGGTACAAACCATTATAGAACAAATTATTATACTCAGCCTGTGATCGATAGTCATGCTTTCTTGTGTACGAAGAGAATGTTCCGTAAAGGTCATAATTGCGTCGCTTTTCTGGATCTTTTAGGGTTTCATATGCCTCTGTGATTTTAATAAATTTCTCTTGTTCTCCTTTATTCTAAATTTAAAAAGAAACTGTTAGCAGATTATTTTATTATATATATATATAATATATAATTTTGCTTTATGAAATATATTGAAGTATTTGACTTATTTATATACAATAATAATACATAAATAATATTTAAAGATAAAATTATAAGAGTTTTTATGGACAAAATAGTTAAATAATGATAGCTAGAGCCAAAGAAAAAATTGAGACTAGGAATGAAGTCAATTCTTGTGTGCTACAGATTATTATTAAAATGTGCGACTCAGGGTTACATAGTATACAAATGAAAGTACTTACGTTTATGGAATGAGAGGGCGACTAAAGTGTAGGTGAAGTTTAATAACAGTAATAATATACATTGAAAATAACTGGCAAATATATATATTATAAGTAATATTAATTAATGCACTTACCGAGTTTTTGTCTGGATGAAATTTTATAGCTAATTTTTTATAAGCTTGTCTAATTTCTTGAGTTGATGACTGTTTAGATACACCTAAAATTTGGTAGTAATTAACATCGCTTAGGTTAACTGTTCCAATTACAGCTAAACTTACTATGAGTAGTTTGAACCTGAAATAAAATGTTTAGTTTAATATATAATAATTCATTTTAAGTAGTATACGTATAATAAAAGTATGTAAGTTTTTAAATATAAATCTATGTACTGCAAAGGACAGTAATCTCTTACATTTTTCTCCTCAATTTATTAGCAGCAGTCCACTTTTTGTTTAAGTTTCGGTAACTATACTTATCTAGCGTGTATACTCAACATACAATTTAATTAGGTGACGATAAAACATTCACACTAAATTATTGTATTAAAACAGAATTATCTCGAAGATAACAGAATTTGTTTACTTTTTGCGTGGGTGCCAGTGTTGCGAACTTGCTTTCAGATAGTCAGGCTAAACCGCATTAAAATAAGACTAGATTTATATTTAATATAATTAACAGAGAATTATTGTAGTAGAGTACATGAAAAATTAAAATTATAATAGTGTACGTTTCGATAATCACATACCTGTTAAATTATTTGAATAATTTATAACAAATACCTAATTTAAATAAATATAGTGTACATTGTATATCAATATTGGTTGAATATTTTATTTAACTATTTTTTTATTCAAATTTTTAATAATTACTTTAGCATAAATTTGTATTGTAAAGTGAATAATTTTAAATATAGAATACTAACGAGAGATTTTTTTTCATTTTAAGTAAGGTTATATTCATGGTTTTTCCTTGTTGGCTGTTCAATGAGAAGATTTTTTTTTAGCTTAATAAATATTAAGTTGGAAACACTAGCAAAAAATCTTGTCAAATAGAACTGACAGTATATGGACGAATATGAAAAAAAAACAGAACTGACAGTATTGTCAAAGTGAAATTGTGAAGTTCTTTTTTAACTATTGCGTTGCTGTGGGCAGCAGCTATATACAGCTTTACCTAACGTTAGGGTACGAGTGCAGATGGCATTCCCAAATCCCAACTCCCAACCTGACTTTAGTCTGAGGGCACCACTAGGGTTTTGAACTTTGTCTAATTTCCATCCCCAGTTGAATTGGATTGGGACGACCGGAGGCGCCGGTGTGGAGCACTCTTGCGCTGTATGATGTGGTAGAGGTCGTCGTCTTCGCCGGCGAGGACGGTGTTTTTTTTTTTTATTATTATAATGGAATGGTGCACCCGCCTGCGCTAACGGTTTACGCTGGCGGGGCACCAATGGAGGATGATAAGATGAGCATGAGGTCAGGTCAGTTAGCCCATCGTGACTAATTCACTAAGAATTTATAATGATGGTTTCCAGGGAGAACCGCATGGAGGTCAACCTGACATGGTACATTGCTAGCAATGGGGTCAACAGTCCACATTACTAACAATCCCCTTCCCTCCCTGTGATAGCGTGCTAGGGACGGAACTTGCACCAATTATTATTAAAACGGATATTGCACCAGTAGTTTCGCTGCGTAATGGGGTCGCTCAACCAGAACATACTTCGGGCGACGTTGTCGGGGCAATGATATGTCTCCTCGTTGCATAGTAAATCATACTGTCTATATAAGCGGGTTTGGGAGCAATTGGGAGCACTTAAAATAGCATCAAGACGCTTCCTTCATGAAGTGTTTGATGGTGGACAGATTAACATATACTATTGCGTATTTTGTAGGATTTACAGTTGATTTATTTGACTAAGAGTTATAGGTATAGGTGAATACGAGATTAGTGTTTGTGAGGATGGGACGGATGCAAGCCTTGTATATCAGCTCATTACGAAGCGACATTTTAATATTTTTGTTTAAGAAGACTGAACTATATAGCGTTGTGATAATAGGGTTATAGTAAAGTGAATTTAATCCATTATTTATAAGACAATGTAATTTATGAATTTGACTTTATTTTCTTATAATTGTTGTTGTAAAGTACGGTTAAAAAAAAAAGAAAAAATAATTGTATTTGTCACAAGCACAATTTACTTTCTACTCGCAACATAGCACGTTACGCTGGATATGTGGGTTTTTAGATGACGGGAAAATAATAATCCTACCTACGCTAATGGTGTACAAGCTGGTGACTCCATTTTATGTAGCAGTAGGTAAAAGTTCTTAATATGAGTCACGTACAGTGATTTATTCTAAGTTAGGTTCCTACTAGATTTTCCTGCTCGTCCAGTTCAAATTAACAATAAAACACCAAGACTGTATTGTGTTCCTTTATTTTATATAAAAGCAATTGATTTATATCAATATTATCTTATTATTAAAAAAAAATACAACTAAGTACCTACCGACCGATACCTGTATTTACAGTAATTTTATCATTTACTCCCTACTTATTCTATATTTAAATAATACTTAAAAGGAAAACAAATAAAAAATATTATACAATAATAAATAATATATAGTTAACTATCATGAAATCCTTTTTAGTCGTGTTTCGCATATTATATAATGCACTATTATTTTACATATAATGCTAAGATTGTTTACTATATACTACGTATAAAAAAGTTGATTACCTTTAGGTATGTTGCAGTTGTACTAGTTTATTTTTTTCCACAATCATACAAATGTCTTATAACTAAGATACCCTGTGTTAATTTTATAAAACATTATAATACAAATATCTAGAGGCACAGCCTAGAACACAGATCAGTGCTAATCTACAAAAGTTTATTTTCTAAAATAGTCCCATCGATAATCGAAACTGGGACCTTGCTCAAAGAAACTTCACCACTATCTAGCCATGATTATGTTTCTTTTTGCTATTTAAAGAGTAGAGTCCTATGGTAGTTGTGTAACTTGTCAGGTTTTTTTATTGCTATTTTCTGCTAATTTGATACTGCGATATACTTACGTAAGAAAAATACAATGCATTTTTCGAATACAGTTTCGAGCTTTTAAATACGTATTTTAAGCTTGAAACTTTATTCGAAAAATGGTATATAATATTGTCTGACTACTAAATTAAAATTTGACATAAAAAGAAACATTAATGAAAAAGTTATAATTTCCGTGGGGGAACGAAACAACGGGAAAAATACATCAATGGTATCACGCAATTCCAGAGGCTTAAAATATTATGACATACAAACATGCACTAGTTCAATGTCAGGATAAGATCCTGACATTGAATTAGTGCATGTTTCCTGTTTTTCTGTTCCAGTATAAAACAATAGATATGTTTTATACTGGACTGTACCTCATTTTTACATAAAAAAAATAAAAAAATGCGTTTTTACCAATAATTCTATCATAAGAAGTTCATAAATGATCGATTAATCGCTATGAATACAACCATATACGGACACGACGGCCTGTATTTTTTTAATTCTTAATTTTTTACACAAACAACATAACAGTAAAATGTTTATTCAACCTTCGCATAAAGCGTTAAAATATTATGTAAGCGCTTCTTTTTGTATCAATACCATTTTAACAACTCCAGTGGTACATTCAAACATACATTGTATAAAATAATAAATTAAGCTTTACTCATCCGCATCTTTGGCTTAATTTACTTGGCGTATTAGGCATATGGTCACATAAACCTCATTTATTATTATTAAAAAATGTTATAACTGCAAATTTTCTTTAAGCACTCTTATTTCCTGTATTAGTTAATATTATAAAGTATGTATACTTAAAAGCAGGAATGCCAATCTTACGATGATCATTGTAGGTACATGTATGTGAATTTAATTTTCGGTAAGAGTAAATTTAGATCGTCGTACAAAATTGTACGAGATCTTGATTTACGAAAATCGGTCAAAATTATGTACGATGTTAGAAAGCCAAATCGAGTGAGTATACGAGTATGTATAACATTTTTTACTTTATCGTACGAGGCTATATGTTTTAAGATCGGCAACATTGCTTACGCAACATAATCCAAGAGGAAAAGTGCAGTACAGTTAGGCAGTTAGGTCCTGTAACTTACTTTCTATCCAATAAACGCTAACTAAGTTTATTCAGTCGCTAATTAATGTGTAGAATTATTTAAAAATTTCAAATTAAACCTATTAAATATATAAATATTAAGAATTATAATGTCAATTAAATGTAATAACAATTCAGTTCTTGTTAATTATTTTATTCTTTAATTTCTTCGTGTCATGACGAAATAACGATACAACCCAAAAAAGTTCAAGTCTAGTGTTGATTAAGGGTTATAATTTGATCCATAGATCGCTAACCTGTACTTAACTCTCCTAGGATAGGTAATAGCTGATATTACGTCAAGGCAAATACAACTAATATATTACCAGTTTTCTTAAGAAGTTATTGGTAGAGAATTGGTAGAGGAACATCGTCTTATAATTAGAAATTTTGTTAATGAATAAGATAAAAAATATTAAAATGTAGGTAGTCTAGTTTCTTACACGATTTTCTCAATTGAAATAGCCAATTGGACCGGTGGGGATAGTGATAAATAAATTACATGCATATAATAAATAATTTTGATTTTTGACTGACTTTTACAGCTTCATCGCTTGAACTCCAATAACTTATAGGTGTAATAAATGAAGACGCATTAATTAAATATTTGCACTTCATTACAATCATCATCATAGTATAAAAGAAAGTCGCTGTGGCTGTCTGTCCCTATGTATCTATGCTTAAATCTTTAAAACTACGCAACGGATTTTGAAGCGGTTTTTTGTTAAATATATAGTGTGACTCAAGAGGAAGATTTATATATATAATACATGTACACATGTGCGAAGCCGGGGCGAGTAGCTAGTAATAAATAAAAGAAACATTAGGTGGGAGTTCCGGTATAAGATACTATATGGTTTTCTATACTAACATTACAAGATATAACAAATAAGAGAGGGCGAATTTTATGCACCCATTAGAGAAATAGTTTTACTGTGTGAAACGTACATTCCACGACTATGTATTAAGTTAACATATACAAGCTAAGGGCAAGGTATTGGTGTACAATAAATATATCTATGATCACTACAATGATACATTCGTTTCTTAAATAATATTTATACATACAACATCAAATTATACTTTTATGCGGCTGGAAATAGATGTTACTTATAATACAAAGATTGCAATATATCTACAAATAATTGCTACAAATAAACCTAATGGAATGACAAGAATAAGTTTTGGTTTTTTTTTTCTAAATTTAAGTTTTGGTGTCACCATATAAATGCATGCACTGATATACCTAAACATTGAATTTATGCTCTTACAGTACTTTTAATTGTCCGTTTCAATGTTAGGTACGCTATAATTCTGATGATAATGTTTGCCACAAACAACACAGCTATGTCCGACCAGTAGTTGTCCTTATCGAAGCTGAATATCTTCATTAGTTCTGTAGGATGTCTGTAATAAATTAAATAACACAGAATTTAAACATGAGCATAATTCTTGTCTGTCCTTAAACATAATTCTTGCTCTATACCACAGATAATATAATATGCTCCATGAATAGTCATTATTTGCTCCTTCAAGGTGGAGTAGATTTTTTTTTAAACTACGATGGTGGCAATCAAGCTTACGGCCCATCTGATGGTAAATGGTTACCGTAGCCTATGAACGCCTGAAATACCAGGGGGGGTATTACGTGCGCGTTGCCTACCCTTAAAAAACCTTAACATGCCCTTCTTGAAAAACCCTACGCTGTAGTCTCGTGGGAAAACCTCGGCAGGAAGTTAATTCCACAATCTAAGTGTACGCGGGAGGAAGCCTCTGAAACCGCACTGTTCGGGACCACTTAGGTTCCAGCGCGTGGGGATGAATTCCCTGTCGATGGTGAAAAGGTGGCCGTCGGCATCATGTCGAACAATTCCTCAGAACACATTCCGTTGTATAATCTGTAGAACACACAAAGCGAAGCGAAGTCTCGCCAAGCTAAGTGACTATATTGGTAATGTGAACAAATAACTCCATTGCTAGCTAAATTCATGTTGAATTTATCACGATGGGCTAACTGACCTGACTTCATGCTAAACTTATCATCCTCCATTGGCGAAAACAGCGTAAACTGTTTGCGCAGGCGGGTGCACCATTCCCTTATCATACGTAATAAATTCACCCCATGGATCCAATTTCTCTTGATTACTAAAGCCTTATGAACTCACCTTATAGGACAATAATCTTTAGTTTCAGGACAAGGTAATGGCGGTCTCCCATATGCGTATACGGATAGCACCATACTTTCAAATCCATACTTCATGAATGAGATGTGGGAGACAGCGCGCATTGTAGCGCTCATATCCGAGAACAGGACCACATAACCAGAGTACAGGATCATAGCCGCCGTCAATACAGCACCGAAGAATGTGCCGTTCTGGAATTTTTTTTTATTACAGTTTTGGCAATCGATCATATTGCTCATCTGTATTAACGGTTAGCATAGCCTATGGATATACTTTTTTTCTCTCTATGTTTTAATAGACCATACCGTAAGTAAAGTGTCAACATATGTAATTTTTTTTTGATAAAGGAAGAGCATTTACTCTGATGGTCGATAGTCTATCTGATGGTAAGTAGTAATGTTCGCCTATATACATAATATCGCGGGATTTTAGCCAGTTTTATTTACCGAGTTTTCGATATTTCAGTAGTGTTTCAACCGCCATGATGACGGGTAAACTGGGGTTTAATATCGGGATTCGGATTAGACCCCGCAATTTTTACTAAATACGTATAAATAATGACCGAGTCAAATTTAAAATAGTATATATACATATAGAGCATATGCATTGCCAATCCTAATAAAAATGATGCATCATCAATCATGCCTGTTATCCTGTATTCTCGTTGACAGATCTCACTCTTCTTTTAAAACACATTTTCGGAAGCAAGAGGCTCAAAATATTAAAAACAACGATGTTTTTTTTGAACGATGTTGCATCTCTAGACTAGACACGTTTAGTTGTACACAATTCACTATTCGCATATTTTGTTAAATTTTCAGTGTGAATAAGCTCTAATTATTTATTCCTTTTAAATGGTTTGTCGTATACACACTATAAATAGATGTATCGATAAATTTAATTATAATATATTAGATTGTGACAGTATGTTATATGAAGATTGAATGCCAAGTTAGCGTGTCTGTGACTATAACTTTAACACTCTTTATACTATTGTGTTACAAAGTTAATACAATTAGGAGGATCGCGTGATTGCATCCAAGTATATAAATATGTCCTTGTACATGGCAAATCGATGCAAACGTTTCTACAAGCACACGTTGATTAACAAACAATGAAACACCGCGTTTGTTGCAGTCTCGACTAATTGCGGATTATTAGCAGCACCCTAATACTTCGCCGCTTTATCCCTCGTGCCAATATTTTAGCAATTTACATATTAACATACAATTTGTCCAGTTAGTATTGATGTTTTTTTAACAGTTGTATCTTCATTTTCAAATGCTTTGAACACAATTTACTTGACGTCCGTATGTCAGTGGTCAAGTTGTCAAAGGTGCGTCAAAAATTTGGTCAACAAGTTTGATTTTGCCGCCCCTAGGACTTGCCACCCGGGACATGGGTCCCGTGTTGCCTCCTAGATCCGGGGCTGACCATTACTATCACATAAACAAAAACATATGTACCTACATATATAATTATACTTTCGTATATAGATCTGTATAATATTCATAATACTGTATTAGTAGTTTTAATAATGGTAATCATAATATTTTCAATCACATTTAAAGTTGTTTTTATACTCTACGAGTAATTTTATATGAAAAGAAAGTTATAGGCTTCTATCCTTTTTGCTTTGCTTGTACTCTTATCTGTATATAAAAAAGCAGGTACTCACTTCGATTGAGGAAGCTTTTATCCAAAAATGTTCTGCATCTCAGTATTACTTATTTCAGCCGAGACGCAAATTGTTTTGTTACTTGTGTTTCGACTAAAGGCAGTCTTAGTCACACGATAATATTATTTCCTTAGTGCTGTTACAGGGGCCTTTTACCATTTACCATCATATTGATTGTCGGCTTCATTGCCATTCCAATTATATAAAAAGATAAAGTTAGATACGTTACCACAGGATCAGTACAGCTTCCTATAACGTTGCCAATAGCATCGGCTAGTACCGTCACGATTGCCAACACCAGAGCGAACATAGCAAATCGATATAACTCCTGAGGTTGTCCAGTCAGATAGTACGAAGGCGCAGTATACACAAAACTGTAGCAAATCTGAAATAAATGTCATTCTTTATTACAATGTATGTAATTTACTTTTTTATTTAGTAAATTAATATCGCTAGGTTCTTATTTTAAACATTAATTTGAAATTGGAACTTCATTTATTTTTATTTGTTTAAAACATAAATTTATATATCGATGGTTTTAAATATTTTAATAGTATATTACGATATAAGTGTGTTATGATGGTTATAACACACCCGGCGGAAATTCAGCCCGAGCCGTAGGCGAGGGTGAAATGAGCCGAGCGTGATAAATATGCACGTACAACATGTTTCAATACACTTGATTTCAAATAAACTCAAACATAAAACTTCACGTTGTTGCTTTCAGCCGTTTTACTTTTTTTAATCAGCACGCTGCCAACTGGCTGGAGATACCGTGTGGCGATCACATCGAAATTTGATAAAAAATTAGCAAGTAGTGCGTTTATGGATTATAACTTAACTATTTGTGTTTATAACGCACGCGTGTTTTATGAGCTGCTTTATATATAAAAAATCGGTGAAATTAAATCCACTTTACGAGCAAGAGCAAAACAATATGAAAATTTGAAAATAGAAAGTAATACGGATTTACAGCAAAAACGCACGTCAAAGACGCAAGGAAAAAACTCAGAGTCGAAACGTGGACTGGTTTTACACTGAATTTAAATATGTGTTATAGTGCAGACGTAAACTAATGGAATAGTCTCATGTGTTAACAGAAATAATTCGAAGTATAGGAGAAGAATAAATTAAAATAATTTCATATCTATTACATTTGTTTATTACCTGCAAAGGTATGCTGGTGATTAGTACGGCAATATAATATGTTTTCAAGCTATACCAATTGTTAAAGTTTTCTTTCTTGAGAACCGCCAATTCTGTGGGAACTGAAAATAAAACGGAATACTTGGAATAAACAATTGCTGTATTTATGTAAATGCATCACTACAAATAGGTGTATTTGATTAATTCTTTATCATTGTGTTTGGGATTGTGTGAGGATAGGATAGGCGGTCGATTGGAGGGTTTTTAGACTTCGTATACCTACGACTAACCCTGTAGATAACAATAAATAATGACGCTGAAGAATTTAGACAGAGCCCTCTAGATCTAAGCTAAGCAGACCCAAGGTATGGGTACAAGACATTTAATAAAACTACGTAAATATATTTTTTTATAGGTTCTTAACTATATATGTCATAATACTGATCATACTTAAGAATACAAATGGTTACGGGTTCGATTCAAACCATTGTACCAATCAACCATTTGTACCGCGACTTTCGTAAGTAAGGTAAGGCGTCGAGCTAATAGGTAAACAAAGACCGTCAAAATAATATTTATATAGAAAAATGAAGTATCAACTTACATCTAAGTACAGCAGGCATAAGAGACGTGTAGGTAAGGTATGTCATCGAAGCGAGTAGGTAGCCCATATTGTTGATGGTTTTAGAACCATCGCTGCCTGCGTCTTGGAATAAGAGGCCCACGAATATCCCAATAAGTACGTGAAGTAATAGTTTTAAATAGGTGACTGACTGCGGAAATAATATAGGTAAATGTGTTGAAACTATTAATATAAGTACACGAGTTAATTACATTGCTTTTATAGGTTGTTATAAATGGCGAATATATGAATATTTTATAGGTAGCATGCATAAATAGTAATCCAGATTGTCTGTAAGAGATTGCTTTTAGTGATATAATAATAATAATCTCAGGACAATTCACACAGCGCCAACTAGTCCCAAGATAAGCTACCTAAAACTTGTGTTATGGGTACTAGATAACTGAGAAATACACAGATGTTTTCGTAAATATTATATATAAAGAACATCCAGGCCGATACAAACAATCATACTCATGAATACATATGTTTGTGCGAGGAATCGAACCCGCGACCATCGGAAGTAAGGCAGTGTGTTAAACCGCTATACCACTGCGGCCGTCAATTTAGTGATATGATTGTATATTGTTAAACAAATTAGTATACATTTTTTTTATACTGAGATAGACTTTGTCGTCGTAAATAGTCGTCCGCTCAGTCTCACATATTTCACCCGCCAAGCTTGAGCAACTGAGTATTTGCAAATTAAACGGTAATTCGAAGCGTATAGATTAAATACATTTTAAATAATAAATTTAATTGTCGTTCTTAATTAAAAATTCAAAATTAAAAAAAATTTTTTGGTGATTACGTTCATATTTTGTTTGATATATTAAAATAAACTTGACTTAGACAGCTCTAAATGTTTTATACGTGTATGTTAAAAAATACGAACCCGTCAAACAAAGTTTTTTACAATAAACTGTCAAAATAATCAAAATATTACTAATATTATAAAGCGAAAGTATGTCTGTTTGTTATATTTTAACGACTAAATAGATCAATTTAACCGTTTAGTCGTCATCTTAAATAAAACATAATACTAATATATTTATGAGATATATATATCACAAAGACGAATATAGGTTATGTTTTAAATCAGACGAAACTGTTAGTTTGTTTATAATAGTATTTATATACATACCCAATCTCTGTGTAGTTGAATTATACATCGTGTAAAGAGAATGAAGAACTTATATAACTCGTGTGGAGGATTGAGAATGATGTCAATTTTGCCACAAGAGAGGCTTTGCACTTTGGTTTCGTTAGTATTAACCACAGGAGCTACTTTTTCAGCCTGCCCACGTTTCTCTGCGAGAATCTCGTTGAAATTTCCATAGTCACCACTGGCTACTTCTAAAACTGAAATAAATAATCTTATATGTAAATTTATCGTATCACATATTTTTCATACCTCTATTATTATTGCCTTGTTTGGACTATTGTCAGGTGATTGGACCTGTAGCACTGCGACCTACATAAATCTATTGTGCTCAGCCTTTTTCAGAGTTCGCTACCTAGAACCGTCAGGGACAAGTATTAAACTATATTCTTAGGAGCTTCATACCCCTAAGTGATAAGTGTCCACGCGTAAATTAAAAAAAAAATTTGTACAACTTTTTTTTTTTATTATGTTAAAAATACATATAGCCCTAAATTTTCACCCTTCTATCACCAAGGCCAATATTTAATAGCGGTTTAAATTTATATGGCAAAACAACGTGTGTTATAATAAGGAAATAATAAATATAGAGTACATACTATAGTCTGCAGGGTTGTGGTACTTTGGGCACTGCAGGCCGGCAGATGCGAGGTACGGCACCGTGTCACCACTTGAACCGTCGTATATACACATGCCCTCTGCTAATAAATACACCTGCCGAAATTTTACTATATGAATCAATGACATACATGTTCCTTTGGCTCTTGTAGCGTTTGATATATAGCCTAGAAATAGAAATTATCCTTATTGGAATAAACTTAATTTTATATCTTTAGAACAATATGTTATTTTAGTATTGTACTAATATTTCTAAAATAAAATTTTAGATACAGTTTTAATAAAGGAAGTTAATGTTTATAAAACAAAGCTAGAGCTTATTGTACTTGTGAATACTCTCTAATGATATAATTAAGTGTGAAGTTACAAACAAAAAAAGAATTAATTTGAAAAATTTTGAAATTGAACGAATGTGCTAATATATTTGTATAACTGACCTGATCAAACATAGAGTATATTGTAGCAGTAGGTTGATGTATAGTACAGACTATAGTACGACCACCTTGCGCCAGGCTCTTTAACATTTCTACACACTGTGTCGTTGTCAAGCTGTCTAAACCTCTGTAACGAAAAAAAACATTACGCTATGTTTTAAAAACAAAAATTTTCAAAAAATTCCAAAATTAGAAAGCATAAATTAATAAATTAGTATTTATTATCAATGAATCCCAAATAAAAAAAAAACGACAGTCAATCTTCGTCTTTTGGTAATAAATGAAAATTGATATATTTCAGATTAACATGATCCAGCACCCCAGATGGTATGGCGTGGCCTCCTTTCCGCCCTGGACAGAGCCATGACCCTTTCCAGGGTGTAAGGAGGCTAAGTTGAATTTCACCATATTAGTAATTCTGGTATAAATGTTTCTTGTATTTAAGTCTTTACACAACATTTAAGTATCTGGGTATTTTGTACAAGCAAGTAATATGCACCTATGTTCTTTCAATGCAGGTTAAGTATTTGAACAATATAGCGAAAAAGATAAGTTTAATGCGTGAATGACATAATTACAACCGAGTAAACTAGTTTATATTAAGTACGTTCTTGGACAGTTTCTTCTTACAAATATTTAACAAATAAAACGACAAATTTCGCAATAATTAAGAGTGCACTGTATTATATGTATTCTCGTAATATAAAAAAAATACTAACGTGGTCGGCTCGTCAAGAAATACTACGGGAGGATTGTCTATGAGTTCCAGTGCTATAGACAATCGCTTCCTCTGACCCCCTGAGAGGCGGCTAGATTTGGTGTTCTTCGTATGTACCAGCCCCAAGGTATCCAGGATACCGTCAATCTGTAAATAACGTTCAATTTCAAACGAGCAGCGTTAAGATAAATAAAATATATTGAATCTATATATCTTATTGTTGTGAATATTTTTTTATTGAATATTGTATTCAGTATACATTATATCTTTTGGGTTTAGTCGAAGTATTCGATAATTACTACTTATTGCTTGTCTTATTAAAACTTTGGTAGTTTATATTTATGGCTGAATTTTCAATGACCGGTGACGTGATAAGTTCACAATGTTGAATTACCTTGTTGCAATTACCAGGTCTCGTATTCGATACCTCGCACGATACACACATTTGGATTCATAAATATAATTGTTTGTATTTGCCTGGGTGTTTACTATTTATTAACAAAAAAAAAGTATTTATAACAGATTACTACATTACAAGATCCTTTGACTAAATGGCTTTATGTGAATATCATAATTAGGATGTAGAATTAAATTCTCGATCATTCGGATTCACGATCAGTGAACATACCACAGACAGCTTTAGCTTCTCGGTGAGACAGTTACCAAGTTTCAAGTCAGCAGCGAACCACATGTGCTCCTCGACTGTGAACAGCGGGTTTAGTCTGTCATCTTGCAAGATGTAGCACGTTTTTTTTCTGTATTCTTTTAAAGCAGCCGTTGAGTTTTTATCTCCCAATTCGCATAGTTTATCGCCGCTGCGTATTGTGCCTGTTACACCATGGGTCCTGTAATTATGATGACCTTAATTATTTTTTTATATATTATATATAACACTACCTACTGTATAGATCTATATCCGAATATCTGTCGGAGTCCTATATCGATATGTATAGTTATAGTTAGTATACTATATATTCGATTTGGTTGACTTTCAATGCAAATTCGAGTAGATAGATTTTGATCGTAGTTTTGGTAATAAATCTATACTTGCAGTTACGGTGTGTAAATTAAAAATTTGAGCACTCTACATACTCGTCCGGTGAAGCTGTAAAGGCCAGCTGCGGCCAACAGCATTAGAGTAGTCCGAAAAAAAGTAGCCTATATTGTATTTTTATTGCGTACAAGTTTTCTTTCATACTAGTTGTATTAATATAAAAAATACTTATGTACCTATATATATGTGAAACCTGAATGACTACCCAGAGAAGCGAAACAGCAAAACAAACATTTTTCAGAACAATATTTTTCTACATTAGCCAAAAGTATAAGGTAAATTACTTACGCGAATCCAGTGAGAGCATTTAATAAAGAAGTTTTTCCTGCTCCTGACGGACCCATAATAGCTGTGAGTTCTCCTGACTTAAACAGCCCAGACACATCTTTCAGGATTGTTTTTTCTGTAACAAAGGAGATACAGTGATATTACTTCTTCTACTTTACCGATGTATTACTAATATCTAAAGCTATATATTAATTTGGATTGTTAGTTTTATTACAGATAACATAATATTACATATTTTTATTAAGTTTATTTTAGACAACTACTGCGTTTAGAAACTGAACATAGTACAAGATAACCTATAAAACTTGGTGACAAATTATATATAATAGTTTCCTCTAGTTGAAAGAATTTTAAAAATGTTTATATATTATTAAAATTCTTATTGAGTTTATCCATTCAAATACCTACTCTACATATTTTAATATTAGCATAAATAAATATGATTTCTATCTGCAAGCTAATTCTATTAACTTTCCCATTTAGTCTCTACGTACGGGTGCTATATTTTTTTAATTTACATAAATCAAGTCAGGAATAATATAAACTGTACACACTTTGCAAAAGGTTTAGTTGTTTACTTATTACGGCAACCTATGTACATATATCTAATTTTCATATGTATGCTAATTATGTATTTATTAACATAGTATTCGCAAAATAAACAAAAGCGTTTAAATCATAAAACCTATATCATTCGATTGCAAGTAAACAACATGAATAAATTTCAGTTTTATATTTATAAATGTGTTTATATTTCTGGTAAACATGTAATATACGCTTAAAAATACAGCGTGAATCTCTTCGTAGTATATACTAACTAATATATCTGGTTTCACTAATACTTACTTAATTTTTTCTATATAAATATTCTCATTTAAAGTATATATTTGTTGATAGATTGTTTGAGATGTTTATTAATTATTTAGCAACTAAAGTTCCCATCTGCAAATTGTTTATTGGTTTATTAATAATTTGCATACTGTGACTATCAGTCTATAAAATATATGTATTGCAATTGAGGTAGGTAAACACTAAAGCTTCAAATAAATGTATCACGGCTCAGTTGAGTAAGGTTATAAAATTTCCTTAATTTCGTATTAACTTCGACACGTGTTCCTGGGAAAAACGTTTTCAATCAATATACATAGGTAATAATTAGTTAAATTTCTAATTGGTTTTTTAAATTGGAAATTATAAAGTAATGACAAAAACCCGCTTTTAATTAAAAAAACAATTTGTACTAGTAGATTTTACAATTAATGTTAATTAATTTAAAATCGATTCAAAACTGCTGAGTAAGGTACGTAGTTAAGTACATACATGCACCAAAATATAGTTTAACTAGTGATGTCAACTTGGCACATTTGTCTCATTTGTAGATCATAATGTAAGTATTGGTTAAGTACTGTTTGCCACCAGACAAGCCGTATATCTGTTTGTCAACACTGTATTAAAGAAATAGTCGAATATCTTATTTTTGAAATTGGTTCTATGCACGTTGGTGGGATATGGATTTCGTTATCAGACCAATGAATGGCTCATTAAGCTGTTTTGACGTTATCATATAATTTTCAATTAATAATGACCAATTACATATTAAATATGTAATTAGTAAAATTTCGTTATCTACTGTTCGGTGGCCTGTACAGACGGGGTCCGTATAGATTATTATACTGTATATTATAAGATATAACACTACTTATATTCCGTGGCGTAGCTCCTATAAATTCGAATAAAAGTAACCCACGTATTATTTTATATATATATAAAAAAGAATAAATTGCAATGAAATATAATTAAAGATAATTTATGTGAATATTGTTAAAAATAATTAAAAAAATATTGCTGATAGTAAATTTTCGTTTATGTTTGATAAAGTAATAGTGCGCCACCCTGCTCTATCAGTATATAGCGTGGCTCCAGTGGAGTATATTAGGATGAGCGTGATGTCAAATAACCCATCATAGCGACATCACCAGGAATTAGTTAAGAATGGGACCATTTATCCCTACTATTCTCTTGGTCCCCTTAATAGTAACTTATTAATATTCATGAGAATTTTCAATTATAAGTGTGTTGCCGGCCTATTGGGAAGGAAGGGAGTAAGTAGGAGAAGGAGACAAGATTTAGGAAAGGAAGAGGAGAAAGGAGTAAGACTAAGTAATATAAGCATACGAGCATAAGAGTAGTTTATATAGTTTGAACCTATAAGCAAAGGATGTAGATACTCCTGGTTGTTTAGGTCCAAACTCTGGGAATAGATTGCTCTGCATGATATTGTATTTATTTACTTTTGTTATTCTATCAATAACAAAATATATCGTAATCACATAATCAAATCACCCTAATTATTATCGCAGGATTAAGAGACTTGATAAATATGAATAGGTAAATGAGGTAATTATGAACCGGATTTTATTTGCAACTTATTACAATATATAAATACGTTACTATTTACCCTTATTATCATAATTGGAATATTTTAAAGGTCTATTAACTAATTAAATAAGTGTAAACTTTTTAGTTCTTGTCTTGGCATGTTAAACCATCGTCAAAATTAATAATCAGAATATCCGTCTATCTAAAGTCTAAATAGTTAGTTATATAAAATAGTTAGTGCAGAAAGTTTATTTTATTATAAAAAAACAGTTTCTCCTTTTTTAGAACATGAGTGCTCGGTTCCATAAAAACATATGGTTTTTAATTTAAATAATATATGCATATCTGTTAACAATACAATGTCCGAAAATAGTCGAAATTTATGTAATGCCATATATAATAATGTGAATGTGTGTGAAATTCAGATAAAAAAATTAACCTAACTTTTTAATAACAATTTTCATATTTATCTTATTACTATTACTAGAACTTATAATAGATAACACTATCAGAATGTTAAGCATTTCATTTTTCAATTATGTTTTATAATAATATAAATATTTATTAAATTACATTGGATGTATTTAGTTCAAGTGCATAACCGTAGCTTATCTTAGAAACAACGCTTTAATTAAGATATGGTGTCCTTAATAATATTTAATGATTCCTTTTCGTCGTTGTTATTACACTTAATTAGTTTAATTAATACGTTATTATCTTCTTTTTTTTACATATGTATAACTAGCTGCACCCGCGTGAAATTTATAGCTTATATGTTATTTTGATATATTCAAAGAGTAAAGTAGATATATTATATAAATTGTGTGTATGTATAAGTTGTATTGAGAATTTTCATTAAAAATACATTTAGTTCTTACGTGAATAAGCAATAAACATCCACACTTTCGCGTTTCAAAAATTCCTTTCCTTCTAATAATACCTATTAGGTTACTATTATCCGAAACTGGCTAGTATGATATAAATAAATTTAAGTACAGTGAGGAAGAGAATGCATATTTGTTTATTACTGATTTACAATATTATGTAAATATCATAATATTCATTAACAAATTAAATAATTACAGACAAACAAAATTATTAGAACAATATTATGGTAAATATTAAGAGGTATTCACTAAAATACATTACAACACAGTCATACATAATGAAATAGACATAATACTAATACATATTTAATTAGTTAATGCTAGAGTTATGCATAGAATTAAAACTATATGTTTGTTTGAATACAGCTGTACAAATATATCTATTAACTAAATTAAGATTTATACATAATTGACATAATTAGGATGTGCAGTCTTAATTATGTCAATTATAATCTCAGGATTACACATACGCACACACATTTCATTCGTTTCAGTCAAGTAGGTTTTCCATGAACTAATAACATAAACATCTGTTTAGGAAAGGTTTCTTAGAAAAACCACTCCTAACTTTGCGGAACTAAATGATGAAAATTGGTACGATAATATATATGTATTATTGAACAAAATATATAAAATGTGTATTTCAGTATTTTAGAAAATTATATATACATGGTAATTTCGATGCTATTTCGGTGTTGTGGTGTATGAAATATTTTGATAACTACAACAGAAATAGCAATGGTAACTTTTTTACTAATTTATTTTGTTTTTCAAACAGAGAAATCTGTATGTTCTCGTGCGATCGTTTTTCTGGACACCCTTTTTTACTCCGCTAATTGTATTCGAATTATTATTCAATATAAAATAAAATTACACGTTAATCCGGACGATGTGGTTTTACCATCGGTCTATTCATGGAACTAGTTGAGATAGATTTGGTCTTTCGAGCCAGATTTGAACCAGCGACCTACGGATTACCGTACTGTGAATATTTAGTCGTAAAATGCTGGATTAGGTTACCTGGTATGTGAATTAAAACATATTTTATGAATATGCCTATATAAAAACATTTTCTAAACAGATAAATTGTTGTTGCTTCAAGCAAAACTTACTTGACGGAAACAATAGAAAATTGGCACACACTTCTGTTATTCTATAATAATAACATTGATATGTTACATAATATGTAGATTTATAAATCAAATTGAGATGAGAGTAGATCTCCATTATATTTTTTAGATCATGTATTTGTGTTTGTACAGGTATATTTGTATAATACAATTCTAAATCAATATTTATGTGAAACTAGAAAAAAGTTATAGGTACGTACTCTACTACTCAAAAATGTTTCCTATGATATCATAAAAATGTGATAGAACATGTGATTCACTTCAAATGCTTCTACAAAAAAAGCACAATTTTTTATTTAGATTTGTGAATAGGTTTACTTTAATAGCTTTTGTTATCAATTCATGGTGAAAAAAAATCCCTGCGGTCTGGGGTTTTTTACATGATTGAATTACCTACTTGTAACAATGAAAAACTGGCGTCATTCGTGTCTATACATTGATTTAATAATATCAACAATTTTTTTAGGATTTTGAATTTTGGACTTTTGAATATTAGGTATTACGGATATGGATTAACGAACAAATATCTCTAGCAATTAAAAAAAAAAACGTAATGGCAAGAAATATAGATTCGATCTTTTTGAAGTTGAAACATTGTAACAGATTAAATAACTTCCACTTCCTTTTAAGGAAATTCGTTGGATCAGTCCTTTTATTTCGAAGTGACATAATTACTTAATTCTTATTTTTAATTGATTTCAAAAAGGGCACTGTTAATA